AATACCAGGCCATTGAACGCAACACTCGATTCGAGTTTTATTATCTCTGGAATGACTCGAAGATTAGAAACGCTTTGTTTATATCAATAATTGTGGCGATGAGTAGACATATGACCGGAATATCTGGTGTTCAAGTGTTGGCCGAATCTATTTACGCGAAAATGATGATTTCCGAGAAGAGTCAGTCATATCTATCGATCGCACTTCTTGTGGTCTCATTCAAGACATCTCTAATATTTGCATTTCTGGTCGAAAGACTGGGCCGAAGAACTCTATTACTGATAGGACTGTTGGGATTGTTCTGCGCTCTGGTATTCCTCTCATTCTGTTTGGCTCTTCGGGAAGATCTCGAAGCTCTTAATTACCTGAATCTCATCACTCTATTCCTGTATATCATTCTCTACTCGTGTGGACCCTATTTTATACCGCATTTCTTTTTCGCTGAATTATTCCGGACTAATTACCGGGCGATTGGCGCCACCGTTTCAGTCGTTACCATATATTTAGTCCCTCTTCTCATCTCATTTTGTTTTATCTCAATTCAGGTAATTATCATTTGCTATACATATTTGTTAAGTGTTTTAATTTTGTAATAATTTAATTTCAGACCAATTTGGAGGCCTATGTTTTGGCTGTTTTTGCCATTTTTACATTAATCTTATGGATAATTATCTTCAAAATAGTTCCCGAAACTAAAGGAAAGACAATCGAAGAAATAGTATACGAGTTATAAACTTTTACTGATATTTTTGAAATATTTATTGCATATTATGCTATACAATCATTAGATCTCTTTATATTTAGAAATTGACTTAAAGTGCCAAATATTAATCGTGTTAAGTATTATAAGTAAATGATACTTACTATGACAATCAATTCATAGATCGACAATTAGTACAAAATGGCTATTAGTTTATTAAACAATTAATGTTATCTTTGATGAAAGAAAGTTTTTATCTCAATATATGATATTTAAAATATTGTAACACTTCTCTTGTATAATAAAATTTATAAATACTGTTATGTCTTAATGTTTAACATTTTATCTTTAGACATATTTAAATCTAATAAAATCTGGTGAATATATGATAATTATACCAATATAAATATTGTATTGTTTTAATTGCATTATTAACATTAATTAAAATTGTTTTATTTAATTTACTAGATTAGTGATGTAAAACTATTGTAATTTATTTTAATAATTAAAATTATAAAATTATTGATTTAGAATCCTACTGCTTTTATATAATACTTGATAAATATGGTACTAATAATGTTTTGATGTAAAATATTGGTATCATTCAAATTTTATGCAAAATTTAAAATTGATGTTATGTTTTACAAAGATCATGCCAAATTACAAGTAAATTATTTTTTAACTTGTAAATTACGATAATTTTAACTAGATTCCTATCTCTAAATAAATGAACTATACTGTATAATATAAAGTATGCGTTTAATGCAAATTATGATATAAATGATTATTTAGTTTTCTGTTAAAAAGTACAATATGTATAAAAAAAATATAAAAACTTGCTTTATTAAATAATAATGATTAAATTTGACAATGTATAACAATATACTGTATATTATATTAACAATAATTAACAATATTTATTGTGACCATAAATATGTATTTCCTTAAAATATTCAGTTAGCATTCATTGACTAATATTTATCTCACAGACAATAATGAGTGAAATTAGGGTCAATTCAACAGAGATAGTGTTGTGGCTTCTGTTGAAAAATAATTGTTTAAAAATAAAATCAAATTTCTAGCGAAGCGTTAAATTTGGGACAAGATTTCAATGATAAAAATGCAATCATTCTAATGTCATAACAATAACTATAAACTCATGAATAGAGAAATATCCTCCTCTTTGTCACACAATAGGTCTGAACTCAATGGCAAATAAACTCTTTGAATGATAACTTCAAAAACAGTTTTACTCTCAAATCATATTTTCCTCGACTTTTGTCACTTATCATTAAATTTGTTGCTCTATTCCTAATGTATTATATTTTTTGCTCAAAAAATGATTTAATCATATTTTAATGATTGAATGACTGTTTTGTAGTAGTTTTAAAGTGACTATATGTCTAGTTAAATTTCACTTTCATTTCAAACTTGTTCGATGGCTAACACTTTCAATTTTGTCATATCTTTGTTATCTCTAATATTAACAGTTTTGTCAACTGTTTCTGCAAGTAATCAATGAATTATAAAATGTTATTTAATTTCTTAAATAAATTAATGACTCAATTCTGTGACATAATAGTCGGTAATCTTCTACTAAGTTCTGGTCCGTCATGTGCG